GATCCACCAGCCACTTTGTGACCAGCAGGAGAGGGGTTAATTCTCATGGGGTCTACAATACCAGGAAAAGGAAAGGGGGAGGAGAAATTCCCTCTGTGCTTTCTAAACAGAATCTTCAAAACACCCAAGTATTCCTGTCCTCCGCTCTGGGGGGGCAGGAAAGAGGCCACACACCTGCAGATAGGCAGGCCCTGGGGCTTAGTAGGCTGCAGAGGCTGGCAAAGTCCAGGGTCATCTGAGGGCACCCACCTCTCTCCCCCTGCACACTGACCCAACCTCATGGGCTTTTCATAGGCAAGGGTGGGAAGCCCAGCAGGGGGCCCACAGCCCTCCCAACACCACACCCTCCCTCCGCCAGGCATTTCTAAAAGCCCTAGGTCCCTGGGAACCTGCAGGGTCATCAATGACACATCCAATTTCCAGATGCTCCCCACTGCCCGCCATGTGCATGTAGGTAACTCCAGATGCCCCACGTCTCTCTCATAGAGCACCCCAGTCCAAACAGGGGTACTCCCTTATAGCTATATCAGTTATAGGAAATAATATAAAAACTAGTTCTGAACTCCAGAAATCCACTATTGGACATTCACTCCTCAGGAAAGGCTAAGGAGTATTCAAAGACTTCAGTTCACTGAAAGGAAGGGGAGGAGGATTTATTAACCCGTGGGTATCTTGACTAAGAGCAAAAATAGGCATGTTGATCTTGGGGCAAGAGCAGTCTGAAGCCCCAGCTCAAAAATGAGGGGCCCCAGGGGGGCTGACGGCATTCATAAGAGGGCAGGGAGGTCTCTAGAGAATGGGGGAACAGAAAATTAGATTCCAAAAAGGAAAGTGAGAGGCATTCTGGTGGGCCTCCAGCCTATGTCCTAGCAGGGAAACCAGGGCTGCCTCGAAGCCCAGAATGGGAGGGACAGAAGGCGCCTACACGCAGGGTCTTCCCTAACAGGCCAGGAGTGCTGAGAATGGAGCCCCTCCCCAGATCCATGAACCTGCTCATGTCCCCTCTGCACACCAAGCTGTGGCACACCTTTGCATGGGCTGCTCTTTCTGCTTGGGAAGCCTTCCGTCACCATGCAAACTTGGCCATCCTTCAAAGCCCACCTGAAGCATCACCCTGCCCCTGGGCAAGCCATTCCCTCCCTCCAGCTCCACCCACAGCAAGCACAGACCCTGCGAAGGTATCAGCCGGGTACGGTGTAATGTACATATGTGCCTCTCTCACCTGGCAGGGGCCGAGTCTCACTTACCTCTGGTCTCTCGCACCTCATACTGAACCCCAGGCCAGAAACCAGAATCAAGAGGCATCCTGGTGCCTTCCCACCAAGAGGCACTGTGCGAGCACCCTCTCCCTCACAGGGCTCCCCTCGGCTGAGAACGGTGATAACAGAAGGACCTAAAGTTGACTGAGCATTTACTACGAACCACAAGCTACCACAAGCGCTCTCCACGCCTCCCATCCTATAAGAGAGTTGCTATCATTAATCCAGTTACACAAGGGAATCAAGCACAGAGAGGATACGTGGGTTGCCCAGGGGCACACAGCTAGTGTGGGAGACAGCCAAACTTTGGACACTAGTGGTGTGGTTCCATATCCACTGGGGAGGCAGGAAGGCGATCGGGGGCAGTTGTCAGGACAAGCTGAGTGGAAGAGAAATCTTCTCTCCCCTCAGGTCCCGGCCAAAGACGAAGGAAGAGCAGCAGTGCCTCCCCCCAGGGTGAGCCTGCTGCTCCCAGGCCCACCCCCATTCTGAGTGCCAGTTACAGGAAACATAAAAGGCCCATCTGCAAACTCCTTGGCCCTGGACCAGGGAGGTACACGGCTGCCCACTGGGAGGCAGAGCCATGATTTGGGACTATTCTTAGCAAACCACTGGCTCCCCTCCCAGAGGCCCAGAAGGCGGCATGCCCATGCTTCCATAGGCCCTGCCTGCCACTTCCTGACCCTGCGTGGAGGTCCCACAGAGCTAAGGAGTGGCTGGTGGGCAGGGGTGAGGACAAAGCCCTCCAGCTTTTAAACAAGAGGTGCCTGCGTGCCCAGCCTTCCCAGAGCCAGGCACCTGGCTGCTGGAGCAGCTCTGGGCGTCCCGGCCACAGGCTCGCGATCAAAGCTCCACTGGCTGAGTGCTCACTCACTGCCAGACCCTGGACCACGTGCTTTCCATGGATGTCTGCCACAACCCTCACAACACCCCCAAGGGCTAGGGGTTTCTGGCCCCATTTTTTAAATGAGGAGTTTCATTTTAAGTGAGTTATTTAAGATATTAAATAACTTGCCCAGGGTCATACAGCAAGTGAATGTCAAGCTGTATCTAGACTCTGGGCTGGCTCGCAGTCTCCGGGGTGGGCAGAAGAGAGGTGACTACAGCCAGAAGGTAGGAGGTCCCCTGCCCTGCCCTAGCCCAGGGTTTGGGAGGCGCAGTCCACACCAGAGAACAACGATTCCATCAAAGACCCCCACAGCATGGCTACACTCTCTCCCCACCAGGGATGGTTCCTTCCATGCCAGATACCCTCAGGCTTGGGCTCAGAAGGAGAGTCCCCAGCCAAAATCTTCCTGTACCTAGGACACAGCTTCACTTCAGGAAACTTCTGGAGATTCAGAAAGATGAGATTCAAAGGTTCAGGGAGCCCCTGATCATGCTTCAAGCATGCCCCTGCCCTGTTACTAGGGAGTGAGGAGATCAAATGCTTCTCAGAGCAAAACAGAGAATCCTGAGCCCTTTGGGGTCTTCAAACCCCAGAGTCGGGGTCTAGAAATGAAGCCACACCACAATGCAGCTGCACTATCACCCCAAACAGGACCATTTCCGAGCACTGCTGTCACATGGGGTCTTAGGGACCACCGAGCGGTACCCACCTCAGATGACATCTCAGTACCCACCCCTGTGCATGGCCTGGCCTCTACTGTCAGGTGACTCAGCAGGGGAGCCCCAGCCAACTCCATGTCTGCCCAGGTACTAAGCCACTTCCATGTGGCTCCACCCGTGTCTTGTGCCCATGAACATCAGCTCACATCCACATCAGTAGCACAAATGTCTGCCCCCCATGTGGGGAGGTTCAAATCCCCGTGAAGGTGAAGATCTGTATACATAGTGTCTGTGGCCCATGGGTAGTGATGTTTCCGTTCACACTGTCTGCCTCTATACACGTCTTGCCCACCTCCATTATCTTCCTGTCTGTCTTCATCATGTCTCTACCCAGTGTTTGTCTCTGCCCACGCACTACAAACCTGAGTAGGCATACATCCCTGCTCATACAACAGCCCCCCCCCACCCCGTGCCCGGGTGAGCCTGTGTGTGCCACCTGTTTGGAGGTAGGTAGCCATGCTCACCCAAGCACTCACAGTGCTGACCAAGGGCTGCGGGATGAGCTCAGCTACGGATACAAGCACACTGCCACCTCCACAAAGTGTTCCAGAAAAGCAGGAACCTGCCAGGGATGTTGGAGGAGGGGCAGAGCCCCAGACACAACAGAACCTCAGACGTGAGGTCAGTGCTGCCCCAGGTACCTCCCCTCTCAAGCCAGCCCTGCCCAACCCACCCACCTCCAGCAACCCAACTCCAACACCAGCGGCCAGGGAGCGGGAGAGTGCCCGTCTGAACTCACAGGAAACTGGCTCAGGGCCTCCTCCAGCCTCCCAACCTCATCCCCAGCCCCCAGCAATAGAGGCGCTTCAGATAGGAAGTGAGGACTTCCTCCCTGCTGGCCTCTGAACCTCCAATAAGGCTGGATCTGGACCCCAAACCTCAGAGGTCCCAAGGAAGCTGGGAGAGTCCGGTGCTCAGCCTGACCCCAGAAATCAAATGAGTTTCTTCAGAATCTACCAGCAGGAAAAGAACACCTGGGAGTGGGGCACATATATGAAGGATAATCTCCTGAGCCCTCCTGCTGCTCCCAGTCCCTGGGGGTGGTGAGAAGTCCTCATAACTAGCAGAGTAATTAGGAAGGCTAGGTATGGAGCCGGAACATTCTAAGTGTATTTGCATGATTGCATGAGAACTGAATCCCAGTTCCCATCTCCCCCCAAAGCAGCCTATGTCAGTCATTTAGCAATTAATCACGTGCGGCCGCTAGGTATTTCTACTATTATTACTAGTCCAAGACCGGTATGGCATCCCCATATCAGCAAACTGGTTTATGTCTTGTCTTCCCCGATGGGGCTGAGCCACCGAAGGACAGAACCCTCCGACTCCTCCCACCACTGCCATCCTCCAGGCAGAGCCAGTGCCTGGCATTTAAAAGGCGCTTGGTCACTGGGTCTACTTGCTCTACATAAAAGCCAAGGAGTTAGTTGGGCCTCCGGTTGGGAAAGTAAAGAATCCCAGAAGCTTGCTGAAAGCAGGAAGCTTCCTTCCATCTCTAACTCCTCATGAGATAAAAACACATCCCGGCCATTTAAATGGGGTGCAGCAGGTCTCCCAAACACCATACTCCGCTTTCTGACAGGTCACTGCCTCTTCAGGAGAAACCTCAAAGATGAAAAGGAGGCTCTCCTGGGAGACCCAGGCCTACAGAGGGAAAGAGCCAGAGTGGCCCGGAATCAAAGCTTGTGCCCACTGGTACCTCAGGACTCTTCCCCTTCCATCGGCCTCAAGGCCCCCTAAATATGAGCTGGGGGGAAACCACGTATGGATCATGAGGCAGCTTCCCTCCCTGCAACTGCGCAGGAAGCATGGCTCAGGGGCCACCCGCGGCCCTAGCCATGAAGAGTGAAGGTTTTGCCAGCCTACCCGAGAGCGAAGAAAACCTCGAGAGAGGGGGTAGCCCAGAGTGCGATCAACAAAACGACCCGATATCTGCTCACTGTGCAGTACGTGATGTCCCGCTCCTCTCCCAGGCACCAATCCCGTGCGAGTTTGGGTGGGGTCCCAGAGCCTCTCCAGGGAGCCCCGAGAGGCGTGAGCTCCAGGGGATGAAGAGTGAGTGGTCGGAGCAGCCTGAGGGTCGCGGGGATAGGGAGAAGACCCCCAGATCTACCCTACCCTCGCCAGCATCGGTACCTGCCAGCTTGCGGTCGGCGCGCTGCGCCGGGACTGCGGGCGCTGAGTCAGGCAGCGGCGGGGCGAGTCCGGCGCGGGCTCCGGCTCGCTCCTCCCAACTTCCCCAGCCCATCCGTGGGCAGAGGTGGCTCCAGGGGCGGGCAGGCCGGGCGCGATGAGGCAAGATAACCAGAGCAGGAGCGCAGTTACCAGCGCTGGGAGCTGCGCGACCCAACCCCAGCGCGCCGCTGTGGTCCCAGCGCCTCGCGCCCCCAACGCAGAGGGGCGGGCCCGGCTGGACCGCCAATCACTGCTCCCGCCACCGCCCGACCCGCCTGAGCCCCGGCCCCAGCCGACGAGGGGGCGGGGGGCTCGGATTTAAAGACACACTCACCCAAGCCGCGTCGGGATAGGCGTCCAGAGCCGCGGCTCCAGGGCCGGGAAGGAACGGCTGGCCCCACCTTCCCCGGCCCGCTTCCTCCTTCCGCCCTCCCACCCAGCATGGGGAGGGAAAGTTTGGGGCGGGGGAGACTGCCTGGGAAGCCAGTTTCTCTCCCCTTGTCATTAATTCGGTTCATTCTGGAAGATACCCAAACCCTACAAGTCAGCCTCCCGGGCTGGAGGAGGAAGCAAATGCTGCCGGCACCACACCCCCTCCCAGACACCAGCTCCCCGGGAGATCGCGAGCCCGGGCTTCCCTCGTGCCTCTCTGCCCTTTAAAGCCAGGTGGGCCTTCCTGCGCTGTGCAACCCAGTCTCGGGGTTGCCTTTTCTGGGCCTCAGGCACTCCAAGTGTCAACGGGCGAGCCCTTCAAGAACAGTCTGTCCGCTCGATAGTGGGTTTCTCCCAAGCCCTGGACACCCAGGGAAACGCGTCCCTCAGCCCCCGGAGGCGAAAAAGGTAGATCAGGCAAGAAAGTTGAAAGGGAAGGGGGTCCCTCTGTCCCTACCCCTTGGCTCCCGTCTGTGACATGCACAGGCCCCGCCACCCAGGGGAGCTTGCCCCCCACCACCTGCCTCCTGCTCCGGCGCGGGGTTGTCACTGCGCTGCAGCCCAGCCAGGCCCACCCGACGCCCAGCAGCCCACGCTCGCCCATAGCTCGCACGCTCTCGTGGGCTTCCACGTGCGTTCACTCTCTACCGCTGCTTCCTCTCAGGCAGACCGGCTTTGTTGTGGTTGGTGAGTCACTTCCTCTTTCCGCTCCACATTCGGAAGATCCTTATTCCTCACCTGTCACTACCTACCTTGCCCCCAATCAGGGCTAGATCGGGAGTGAATGCAGCCCAGGCCCCTGGAATGAAGGCAGCTCAGGCCTCACCTAGGTCCAAAGTCAGGCGGGAAAGCATTGGACAGGAGAGGGGTACTCAGGCCCTGCAGCACACGTGAGCCCTGAGAATACATAGACAAGACAAACAGCTGTCATTTGTAGTGCTTACCGGGTCTCCAGCACCTAGGTCTCAAGTGCTTTACGTGGACAATTTTATGAGACAAGTACTTTTATTATCCCTATTTTAGTGGATGAGGAAAGGGAGGCCCAGGAAGACTCGTCCTCAGCTCCAGACTTCCTCCTGCCCTGCCTAAGGTGTGCCAGGAGGGGAAGAGCAGAGAAAGTCCAGGAGTGGTCTTGGAAAGCGGATCTGACCTTCAGAGTCAGCCTTTAAGCTAGGCTCAAATTGGCTCATGGTTTACTAGCTGTGTGGTCTCGGAAAAGTGATATAAGCTCTTTGATCTCTAGGTTCCCCATTCAAAAGATGGCCTGTCCTCCCTCCTTCAAAGAGATGTTGAGGAGCCAGGAAGCTGGTGCATGTGATGCCCTGGCATAGTGTGTGTGGACACCATTCCCTTCCTTCCTCCTCTCACCACAACCCCGTAACCCACCCCTCCTGCTGTCAGATTCCCCAGCTGATGACCCGCCATCACGAAGATGCTGTGTTCCAGGATACTTCCCCCTGCAGCCAGCACTTAGGCAGAGGTGCACATATACACCAGCATGTGCATGCACACATACATATATGCACATGCACACACACACACACACCTCCCCCTCCCTCACTGTCCAACAGATGCTTGAGTACATGGCTCTCTGTCTCTCTAGACTGAGCTCCTGGATGACAAAATTCCATTTCTGGTCCCCAGCACAGTGCCCAGCACATTATTATTTATTCATTTGTATCCACCATGCAACAGCAGGTGTTCTTGTTGAATCCAGCAGAAAAGCCCAGGGCAGATATGTCCCCAGGAGAGCCAACAGTCACAGCCCTTCTGGCTCCAACAGACAACCTTGGGGCTCAGCTGGTAGGCCCCAGTAGTAGACGGCTGGGCCACGGTGGAACCTGTAAAGCAAAGCAATCTACCCTGTACCTGTGTGAAGAACCCTATAGAGAAGCTAGACCCCAGCAGAAGTTCAGGGAACCAAACTCTTCATCAGTGTGTGTTCCCATGATACATCAAACTCCCTCCCTTTCTCCTTTCCCTACACCTTGTTTTTAGTAAAACTCTTCTTTTCAATCTGAAAAGAGGAGGAGGAGAAAAAGTAGAGGACTAGGGTCTTAGAGGTATCTCAGAGACAAGCCACAGACTGCATCCAGACCAGTGTCCAGCCTCATCAGCCCACTCCCAGACCCTGAGGTTCTGCAAGTTCTGCTCAGAGCTGCAAGCCCTGTGTCCCTGGCTACCTGCTGGCCATGGGGCTGGAGGGTGCCCCAACAACAAGAAAGCCTTCAGGACCAGATTTGCCCCACCCTGGGAGGTGGGGGTGGAGGCTGAATACTGAGGGAGAGAAGAAAGAAGGGACATGAACAGCCCTAGGCATATCCAAGAAAAGACACTCTCCCCAGCCCTGGGCCAAGGGAAGAATAAGCTGGGCCAACTCTATTTGCCCAAACTGTCACAGAAGCTCCCTGAGGCCTGGAAGTTCAGAATAGAAGCCCAAAAGTCCCTGAGAAAGAAGTGATGGTCCCAGAACAGAACGGCCACCCACTCAGCCAGCACCTTACCAGCTCAACCACCACCCCACATCCCACATACACAAGCACCCATGATACCATCTTATTGTCTAAAGAATGCCAAGACCCATATACAAAGGTGTGCTTGTGTGTGCACACATATGTGCTTGTGTCGCTCATGTGTGAACTCACATTTGCAAAGATGTGAATAGGGGAGAGCATGTTTGTGCACATCTAATAGGTGTGAATGTGGATGTACAAATGTGTGTATATGTGAGTATGTACAGCACGCACAAACCAACCTACTAAAGTCTAAACAGGCTGCTGCTGCACAGAATAGCAAGTAACCACATTACTCAGGCTTCCAGAAGAACTGCCTGTGGCCATCCACAGCCCCCTTCGCCCAAGCAAGCAAGGTGCTGGTGCTCTTGAGAGACAACTCCCAGGTTTAGTCCCTGCGCAGAAAAATAAGCGGTGGGAACCCACAGTTCCCTCGTGGCAATGCTCAAACCCAGAGTTTTTTCCTGACAGGCACAAATGACTCGTTGGAAGGCAGAGGAGCTGGGTTCAAACCAGCGAAGATGAGACTTGACAAAAGATGAGAAACAGGCCCTACTGCTCTGTTCTGCTCTTTTTCCCCACCAAGCCTGCCCCAGCTGGGAACACTGGGTCCAAGGAATGGACAGTGTCAGGGCAGGGAGCCAACTGACCTTGCTGCCCATGTCCATGTTACTGCCAGGAACTGGGCCAGAGCAGGCCCTCCAGGGTGGGTGTCTTGGAGCCTGCAGTCTTCCCCTGAGGCTGATGACCTCTGAGCCTCAGGTATGCATGCCTGCTGCCCAAGTCCCAACACAGACTTCTTTCCATCTGCCTTGGCTGCCTTGGGGTCCTGCTGTGGCTGTCTGCCCTTCCAGGCCCACTGCCCAGTCTCCGGGATCCAGCACCCCTCATTTATTCAGGCCCCTTCTGTGTGAAGTCCAGGCCTTAAAGACACAGGCTTGAGCAGGGCAGATCTGCCCTGGATCTAGCCACAGCAACTTGACCACTATGTGACCCCCTACCCTAAAAGTCATTGTGTTTCTCCAAGTCTCATTTTTCTCATTTGTACAATTATGTGAAGAGCAGTTCCTGCTTCCTGGGAATGTCTGGAGGATCAAAGGGGTGCCTGGCACTCAGCCAGAGCTCACTGACACAGCAGCTCTTGAGGGGTTCTTTGAGACTGAGTTCAGGTTCTGCCTCCTCCAGGCAGTCTTCCTGGCTCACAGGATCTCTGTCTGTTTTTGTGGGGGGTTTTTAATATATTTTTATTGATTTTGGAGAGAGAGAGAGAAAAACATCAATGTAAGAGAAACATCGATCAATTGCCTACCATATGCACCCCAAGTGAAGATCAAACCCACCACCTGGGTGTGTGTCCTGATCAGGAATCGAACCAGTGACCTTTCGGTGCACAGGACAACACTTAACCAACTGAGCCACATCAGCCAGGGCTCTGTCTGCTCTTGGGCTCCTTCCCTATCACCTCTGTGCAGAAGTCTTGGACCTGAGCACCCCTGTCTGGCACAGACTATATGTTCAGTAATTGACATTATAATTAAAAGCAGGATTATTCATTTTATTGGGAGGATGACATCTCTCACCTCCCAAATTCACACACTAGGTTCAAATATTTTTGACCAACAGTCAAAGTAAACATACCTTTTACATTGTACCACCAGCTCCACAGAGAAATGAATACGTGCATGTGTTACACACACACACACACACACACACACACACACACATGCATCCTGATACTTTCTAACCTGTCCTATCCTATTTCTTTTTGTTTTTGCTGATTGCGTTGCACAAAACTGATTTCACCTATGACCTGCAATTTGAAAATGTTACACAGAATGATGAGGTCCCCGAGGGCGGAGGGTGCGTCCCTCCCCTCCCAGCACCACTCTGTCCAGTCCCTGACTCAAGAGTGCTCAGGAGATGTGGGAGGAAGAAAGGTGATTCTGTCTCCAGAACATCCCTCAAGTACTACAGGGGAAATGCTCCATCAGAAGAAGAGAAAAAAAGAAGAAGAAATCCTGACTCATTCAACAAATAGTTTATTCATTCATTCAGTCAGTCAACA